TTTTCTGAGAAAAACATCTGAAATGTTTGTTATTTTGAGTGCAGACCAGACTATTAAATTCGCAGGATTTCGTATCAGGGCCAATTGGAGCATGTGCAGGGAAATGTGATCTCTTTTACATTGCAAATGGTGTTCACCCGAGAGTAAATCCTGTAGGCTAAACATCTCACCTCCGTCATTAAGCCTGTGTGTAGCTCTTATCGTGCAGTTCTTCCACAGTCCTCGTCTGGCATTGAAATTCAAAACTCTTAAGTGGAAAATAATAGAGGGAATGTCTTTGATGGTTCACTCACTGTCAGTGTACAGTGACAGCTCCTGCTGATAAAAGCACTGCAGGACGAGACTGAAGGGTTTCCATGGTGTTGGACCAGAGCTGCTGCTTTCATGTTTGTAGCACAATGAGAAAGAGTAGTTTGTTAATGCGTGACTACTGGCTGAACAAGTGATGTTTTCACAATTGAGATCTTTTGGTAACATTGTTTGATTTCCAGCCACATTTTAAAAAAAGGCTCAAGTCAGAGTATACGGTAAACAGCTGGCAACAAAGATTTGAAAGCACCTTTTTAAAAGCTTCTGACATGTTACACTAAAGTACATCAGACAGAACATGTTAAAACGAGAGTCTACATGAAGGGATGGATGGTGGAGGACGAATTAGATGTGTTCATGTGAGGGCTGTATGCTTGCAGAGTTTGTTGTGTGAGAATTAAAATACTGTACGTTCAAAATAATTATGTATTACATTTTAGTGTTATTAGTTTAAGTGGCTGATTTGAGAACGGCTTATTTGTTTGTTTTTTAGGCTTTTATGATAATTATTATAGAATTTTATAATATATTATTATAAAGAGCCAAGTTGGATATATTAGAGCTTTTAAATCAGTTTCCCAGCATTCATCACAAGTTAGATGTTGACAAGAATGCTATTTAAAAGTCTGAATATTGTAATTACGATTACTTTGACATGACATGAATGCAGCATTAGGCACAGCTATGGCTTGAGATAAATGCTAATGCCAACATGCTAACATGCTCATAATGATATTGCTAACATGCTGATCTTTAGCAGGTAATAAAATTACATTTTGAGATAATGGAGCCAAAGGTGTTACAATTCATCCTGAGGGGGACATCAATGTGTTTACTCAATTGCATGGCAATCCATCAAATATCTGTTGAGACATTTAACTAGCAATTAGCAATCCTTCTAGAAGTTGTTGATATTTTAGCCTAAAGTGGTGGACCAGCTGAGTCCAGTTGAGTCAGGTTTCCACCCAAATTTAGAGCAAAATTTAACTGAATTTTTCAGAAAACCTGAACACATATAACAAAAATTCAAGTTAATGTGTGTTTTCAGTTTCAGTTTTGCAAATATTAGGAGTTGGGTGCATTGACAGTTGCTGGTGCCATAGAGAGCTGAAATGAAACAGGAACTTCTGGTTCTGTTTCACAAGTAAGAGAACCTCATTCAGAATCCCATTGCTATTGTAATTATGCAAATAACTAAAAATCCAGCCTTGAAATAAAACTTTCCTCAACAGCACACTGTGTGGCTCGCTTCAAATGGTTAGATGACGAGTTAGTTTCTTGAAAAAGTATCGAATATTGTTTATTTAAACTTACTACGTGAGACAATCAGCGAGAAGACTGACTATGTATTTATAGTCATTCTTAATGTCTGCCACCAGGTCAGATTATCCTTGAAATACCACTTGTCCAAAGGGGCCACCAGAATGAACACAAAAATAAAAGTTTAACCCTAACTTTAAAATGTATAAAATAGTGAATTAGTTCATGTCTGTAATGAACAGCAGGAAAAAAGGCCTGAATGCTAAAGAAGGTTTTAAACAGGAGAGGTTACAGCTAGTAGAGACTGTTAAGTTTTAAATCAAGTACCTGCACTTGTGATTTTTCCATGAAAGTTTTTTCTGCGCTCACAAAGGAAACATTTAAGTTAAAAAAGAGAGAGATCAAACTGAAAGAAACAGTAGAACCTAAACCTAAAAGGAGCAGCATGAATATTTGTATGTAGTTTCGGGTCAGTTATGGGTCTGATGGTAAAGTGGCCATGATGAGGCTTTTAGTCATCAATTCAGTACTTCCACCAGAAAGGAGTGCATAATGCTCCTCCTGCCTGATTGCATAGTATATCTGACATTTAGCTCAGCTTCCTTCAGGGACCAACCGGCATCAGCTCTCTCCTGCAAAGCAGATATCTGTGGGTAAGCTGCTGAATACTGATGTAATGATAATGCCACAGTCTCAATGTAATGTTAAATGATACACCTGAGGTTTCGTGGCATAATATGGGTTGATAAAATGTAAATTTTTGGAATAATACAGAATCATCTGAAAGTACAAAGAGCATTTTTGTGTGCTGAAACTGCCTCAAGACTGCCTCCCTAGGCATCCCTGCTGGCCTCAAATTGAATCGTGCTGAAGCATTTTCTCTTGCCTCTATCTGTCTCCATTCTTTGCTTTTCACTTGTCTGAATAGGAATGTGCTAAAATCGTGACCCATTTCTAAAAAAATAAGTGAAATAAAGGTTTTATTCTTCTCCCGCTGACTTAAAATGAAAAAAAATAAATAAAAATGTTGCTGGATCACAGCGAAAGAGCCATTTGAATCATTAATTGACTCGTGCAAAGTTATGCCACTGAAACAAAGCCAAATTGAGTATTTCATACTGAGCCAAGCACTTAGAAGTCATACATGACATTTGAAACATGTTTTGTTCTGAATATTTCAGTGTGTTGGCAGCTAGAAATGAAGCAAAAACACTAAATAAACAGCAGGAGTTGGAAACTGTTTGTGTTAGGGGAGCTGTGTGGAATCACATCGTGACTATTCATGCTCACGTGATTCCTAATCCTCAATCCCTGATTTTCGCTCACAGGCAGACACCCCCCTCTTCTGGCAGAAATCCTCACCTTCTTCAAACAGCTTTCTTCGTTTTCGTGACATTACTCAATAAATACAGTTTTTCCACAGTATTTGGTCTACATTGTATTTGCCTTTAATGGAGGTTTCAGTCGCAAATAGACAATGAATGTTGAGTTCCTTTTTTTTGGTCAATGTCCCAAGAAAGGCAGGTTCAAAGTCCAACAATCAGTGGCTGTGATGGTACAGAGGGCCCCTGTACTTTTCTCTTTAACAAGTTTCACAAGTGTTGCCACTGGCTGCGTGTACTCGAGCTGAAAATCTGTGGAGCCTGAGCACCTGCCACACATTTCTTTATTAGCAGACTGCCAGAGCAAAATCAAACAAGAGCAGGAGAGGGTCAGCCTGCTCCCTTTCTCCAGAACATCCAAACAACCTGGCAGAAAACCTGTGCAATTATCACCTCACTCTTCAAATTCTTACACAGAATTTCTCAGTAACCTTTCTTCTTGCTCATCTGTGCCGAAGCCGACACCAAACCTTAACTGAATTGCAAGGCTTTGCCAAAGATAGATCGCAACTGGAGACATTAAAAGAACGTCCGGGGAGACAGAACACTTCCAAATAAAATAAAAGAGTGAGAACAAGATGTGCCCTAATTTCCCGAAAGCATCTTAGGTAAAGTTTCAAATGCATCTTACATCTTTCACAAAAGCATTGTTACTTAAGACATTTTTAGAATCTTACATTAAAGAGTGAAGGCTGAGTGTGTCCTACTGAAAGAAGCTCCACAACTTTCAGAAAGGACTGAGACATGTTTCATTAAAGCTTTCATATATATATATATATATATATACCCAGACACTGCAGATGGAAAGTAGTTGCAGTAGAAGCCAAATCTGGTAAAATGCATCTCTTCT